TCACTGTAACCTTACTGCGGTGTGATGGTGAAACGGGGAAAAAACTAGAGAATATCTAGTGAACAAAATGATCATATGAACAAATGTGTGGTGGCCTTCATGGTGTGCGGGTTTTCATTTTGATTATCAGCATAAGCCACACATCAGTCTGTCTCATGACCTGAGGTAAAAGTCACTCGCGAGATTTAAACATGAGCCTCATCGTCGTCTCTTCTCTGCTCTGATCTCTGTTCACAGCAACATCAGTGGGGAAATTATCATTGATTAATTTAGTCAGTTTTGTTCTACTGGATAAATTTCTTGTCATTTTATTACTTCATTTAACCCTGGTCCTCTGTCATCTGTACAGAGCTTGTAAATGCTCCTCCGTTTTGATGATGATATGACGGCGCATCACAGACAGCCGGAATCTGATTACAAATTGAATTGATTAGGCTTATGTCCTTTCATTATGGCATGTAGCTATCCAACAACTTGATCAAAGTGTGACATTCTCTCTGTGAGGAAATCACACTTAGGTTTTAGACATCTTTAAACAGCCCGACTGTTCTTTGCAGGCAGAAAGCCAAGCTAAGGTTATAAAGTAGCCCAAAAAATTTTTTTATTTCATTTTGGCTCAATGTATTTGTGTGTTCTTAATGTACCGCTGCCAAAGTATACTATGGGCAGAATAATTCAGCTGGATTCAGACAGAGAGATATCCCAGTCCACCACGCGCATAAGGAATTAAAGAATGAGAAAAATGAAGCAAAGCATACAAGTGTAATAAAGTATATTTTTGTGTTTACAAATTTCAAACCTTATTTTACTTATAAGTACAATTGATTCAAAAAGGCACTTCTACCTTCTTCGGATTACCTGAAGCTTGATAAACTGGAGTTTGTGTTTGAAGAGGCATTTCATCCACATTGTTTATATTCATTGGAGTTAATCTATGAGATACTTTCTCCTACTTAGTACAAATCTCTATCATTTTTGGCAAGTGCACTAACATGAGGCATATCTCTGAAGATGACATGAAATAACTGAAATGATAAGATGATTACCACAATCTATATGATCTGCACATTCTATTTAGCATTGTAAAAAATTGTTTTTTTTTATTATATAATTGGTTTGGTAATTTTGGACCTAATTCCACTGATGAGGTTTCAACCCTCCCCATGAAAGAAAGCTCTTAATTGATTGCCAGAATCAAACAATGCTAATTGGGTTTCTGCCGAGTCCTTTAATCATAATCCAGATGAGTGCCTATAATTAATCTAACGAACGACTGTCTGACCGTGACTGGAATGGGAACTGATAGTTTGATGAAGAGCAGGAGAAGTGAGAGGAGGATGAGCGAAGCCGGTGGATGTGGTCTTTCGTTCTCCATCTTTGAGTGGATGGTAAACTAAATCAGGACCCAGAGCACTGATCAAATCAATGACCTTGGCATGAAATAGTGCAGAAGGAAGTTTAGGCCTTGATGTCTCATGCTAACAGTTAAAGTTACTGTGAACTGATGAAGTCAATATTTGCCAACTCACACACTTTTGGCTCTTTTTTCAAACTCTCATGCCAGTGAAAGGCCAAACAACCTACACACTCAGAACAAACTTGCAACTCGTTTTGGCCTTCATTCAGGATAACATGCAGTTATGAGCCTAATGAGATGATCTTGACTGTGTCTCCCAGCCTTTTTAATCTCATTACTTTCACAGTTTCAAAAAGTAAGCCAAGATGTGTATGTGAACATCCAATTGAGACAAACCATAACTAACAGTTTCCTAATAGTTTACTATTCATCACTAATAGTCTTTTAGTTTTTTTATTAACAGATAACTGTTATAGAAAGAAAGTCTTTTTGTTTGTTACATTTTCTTGCAGTGGCATGAATATATAACTAGCACTCATGAGCTAGCTGCAGTATAGGCTACTCGGGATGACTTTGGGGTCACAATTATCACAGCAATAACAAAATGCATGTTGTACATAAGGAATAAAACATGACAGGGCATGCTATTATAGGAAAATAACAACAGGGTGGCGTGCACAGTTGTTACCACCCTGAATTTGTACTTTCCGTGTTTTATTCCTCTGTACCACAGCAACACACCAATGCTAGCATGTGCTGATTCTAAACTTTCAGCTGATACTGAATGGGACTAATATTAGAGATAAATGTTGTCACATATGCAATCTTGTATTGGCAATAGAAAAAACATAATTGACAATTTTTCTGTTTGTTTTTTTTTTGTTGTTTTAGGACTGTGGTCCAAATTGTAGTAGTATACTAAATAACATGCCAATTTACTGCTATATTGATGGTGCATACTATGTTATATACTATTATATGCTATGTAATATACAGTATATCCAGGGACTAGGAATCATTTTGGAGATCATGATGATTAGAGAAACCTGTCATCAGCTCCAAGGAGTATTGACACATTGTTGTTTGGATTTTATTCACAAATATACAAGATTACATGGACAAACCAGGCAAAATTCCTAAAATTTCATTCAGCTCGCCATCATTTCAGTTCTGAAGAAGTGCACTCAAATGCAGTTTGAAATTCATTGGTGAAGAATCGTATATTTTGATAGACAAAGGCAAAAAATGTGCACACTGCGATGAAATTGCAAGATGCTTTCAGACTACAAACAAAGCAACTCTTTCAGTGGACATGGTTTAATTAAACCGCAGTGGAACATCAAGTACACTACTTTCTCGTTCTATCTCTCTGTCTCTCTCTAAAACCAAGTCTGTCTCTCTCATTCTGCCAAGTATTAACGTCGTGTGCTTGTCACTTTGCCCAGATGGAATTAAGAAACGCAAAATGAAATAGCTGTCGCATAATGGTGGAATTTCACTGAAATTTGGCACGAAAGTGATGAAGGCAAAAACGCTGCATTAAAAAGAAGGAAGAGAAAAGGGTAAAATAAGAGACACATTAAAAAAAAGGAAAGTGTCACATCATTAGAAATGGAAGTGGCGGATATGTGGAGGGGGTGTGATTCTGAAATGAAGGGGAAGAGAGAGTGAAAGAGAGATTTGGGAATCTGAATCAGTCTTAAAGGAGGTAATTTACACATGCAAATGAAGCAGGATGCAGAACAAATAAAGCTTGTAGTAGGCTGACTACTGTAAACTGGCATATTCACGTAACACTGTCAACATTATCCCACACAGGTTGACTTACAACGACTAGAAAATTCAATAACCCAATAATGACAGCCTTCACACACAATCAAAACATTACTTAAGTAAACGTACCATGTTACTACCAAAGTAAGGGTGTGATGCAATGGCACTATCTGTATCTCTTTTGTGCTGAAAATATTACTATCTATATCTATATTCAGATTTAAACCAGAAGTGGGTGTGGTCTAGCCCAGAAGGTTTTTTTTTTTTTATGTGAACTCTACCACTATGCTCCTGGAAACACTGAAAAAACCCAGAGCTGCTGGGAACATGAAGTAATGTTTTCATTCACAAATTATATCAGCAAAATGCAACTTGCAGAACTTTATTCAACTCCAGTTCCTCAACATCAGCTACTTCACTTGAGTTCATAATTGGTCTCAACCAGTCGCCCTGTGCAACTTTCTGGAAAGCGGTCAATCTAATGTGACTGACTAAGCTAGAGAACTATCTTTCAAAACAATGTCTTAATAATATTAATAATAATACTTATTTTATTCTACATGAACATATGAACAATAATATTTATTCATGTATTCTAATAGTATTTCAAAGTTTGTTTTGAAAAAAAAAAAAGTTTGTTGGACAAGCTACTACGAAGATGGGATGCAGTGCTGCTGCTAGTCAAAATGGGGTCTTTTAAGCGACATTTCATTATAATGCCCAATAGATTTTCTTTTAATAATGATGAAGAACATTCTTTTAAAAACACATATACAAGCTAATATTTTTTCTAATTAATTGATTACTTTTTTGGAGACCCCGCCAGAGATATGCTGCCTTGTGCACAGTGTATGATTGAAATGTGGTTTTATTTTGGAGCTCATTAAGGCAGTATTTAGATCGGGCTACAGGAGCAAACCTCTGACGATAGACAAAACTAAAAGAATTGTGACCCACCTATTTGTAAATAACTGTTGTCTTTGTCCTTACCCCCTTTAGTGAGTACAAAGTATGAAAGTATGAAAGTAAAAATCTCCTACTTGCATAAATTTGTTGTCCACTGGGATCCTAGTCCTGATGCACACCTCTAGTCTCAACTAGATGGCCTGTGAACCTTTGGTTCACCTACTATTCGTATCTGTATTTGTTTAGAAATCTGTTCAATCCAGTAAATTTTTGTATTCGGTTACATCAGTTACATACTCTATATTCATTTGTGTTAGAAACTCCATTTGAGATTTTTTTCTCTTACTGAGCACCTTTTACTAAGTGTAAATCTCCATCTTACAGGGGCAAACCACAAATTTCTGGGCAGATGGAGTCTCTGGATTTCCTTCCAAATGTAAATTCTAACAAAGAAAGCAATGTGAATCGTTTACTAATTTGGTTTGGATAAAGTTTGATTTCATTAAAAGTCATATAAAATGGTCCAAAGCAAACCCTGTCCCTAATCATAACCCTAACATTCAGACTGTTTTCACTGTACAACAGCCGATATGGTTCATGCTTTTAAAAACTCTACAGTCTACAGCCACTTTTTTCATGTTTTAACAGTTCTGCTACAATGTTCTTTCAGTGCTTGGTTCAGCCCACTGAAATACTTTGCTGGGGCCTGATCCGGACTGCGATCCACCAGTTGCTGACCCCGATCTAGACCAACAACACTCTATCAACCAGTTATATTATAATAAGATCTGAAATTGGCTGACAGGTAATTAAAGCAGAAAGGAAACACAATAGGTGAGAAAAGTGACATGAAATAAAACAAAGAATTACAGAATATGAAAAACAGCCAATTGTTAATAATTAAATAAAAAATAAGTAAAGAAAAAAATAATAATAAAAGAATTTTTATCATTTGGTTCTAGGTTCCCTGGAGGACTAGTGGTTAGGCCACAGTGCTCTCACCGCCCCAGCCAGGGTTCGAATCCCGGCCAGGGAACTAACCTCAGCCACTGGGGTTGCATGCAACAGTGCACTCTCAGTGCAGGACCCAAGCCCGGATAAAATTGGGGAGGGCTGCATCAGCGTAAAAACTGTGCCAAATCAAATACGCGGACCAATGATCCACTGTGGCAACCCCCAACGGGAGCAGCTGAAAGAGGAACAACAACAACCTCTACTGTGGTTCTTGATAATTATCAATAATTGCATCCTTGCACATAAGGACTCTGGGTAGTCTGATGTGATGCCTCTGTAGATTTAGCTTATTCTCTGCTAAGATTAGACCTTATGCACATAATGATGCTTCCTCTGAATTTAATTTCCCATTTAATTACTGTTTTAAAATCAAAGGTAGCTGTGTGGCTTATAGGGAAAACCTTTTTTTTCAGTCAAAGTGTTGAGCCAGTATAAGAAATGCCCAAGTAACAAATCCTCCCAAAATGTTTATCAAATCCTTGGTCTAATCTGGATGTAAACAACAGCAGTGTGCCATTATTTCATAGCGTTTCCGATGCATGTGACAGCCCAGACTAATAGGATTTAATAACAGTGCATTTACATGTCAGTGCTGTGATGTGGTTAGAAAATGAGGGAGGATGGAGAGATGGAGGGAGAGGAGGAGAAAGTGGGGATATTTGGGACAGCTTTTGAAGAAAGAGAAGTGTAATTATATTAGATGGGTGGTGTCCTGACAGAATGATATGGTTCATGTCCACTTTTTAGGATTTGGATCTTGTCAGGTCTCATCCCTTCCATCTATCCTCTTAAGAAGTGAGCTCATCCCCTTTATTGTATGTGTGTGTGTGTGTGTGTGTGTGTGTGTGTGCGTGTGAGCATGCGTCTCTCTCTCTCTCTCTCTCTATCTCTTATACACACACAAAAATACGCACATACACTCATGAGGTTGAGCGCCAATTGGCCTGCATTTCCTCCCTGGCTTTGATGTAATGGAAGTAGCCTGCACTCCCTGTCTCCTAATATGTGTAACATTAATGGGGAGTTAGTTCGACTGATCTGAGGAATGGGACACTTTTATCACTCTCTTTTAATGTGGAGCACTTTCACATCTCCACCATCTGCAATTTGTTGTCCATTTGAGTACACTGTCTTTTAACTAGACGAACTGGTGGGGAGCGATAGAGTGCATATAACACGGATTTTCTGGGTGTGGAATTGTTTTTGAGTGATTCCATGATTGAATTGCCATTTAGCCTTTGTAACCTTTAAAAAAAAATGTTTTTTATCATTTTTAATATAGGATTTAATAAAACTTTTAATTAAAAAAATACATTTAACAGGGTTTAAAGTAAAAGGATTGTGTATTTTTAATCATAGAATTAGCAAATACACAAAATAAAGTTAACTAGCAAGACTTTCTAGTTAGGGACTTTCTATTCTACTTAAAGTTTTTAAATTAATAATTTATTTTCAGTGTATAATTTGGATTAAAGTGCCATACATTCAAAGTGACCTCAACAGTCAATATCACAATATCATTGAAAATAAAATAAATTTAAAAAAAATTACTTTTCCTCTTCCCATGATCTTCAGGAAATTCAGATGATGCAACTTCCTGTTGAACATTTTGGTGTTCCACAACATTTACTCAACCCTGTTACCTGAACACATTCACTCCTATGAAATATTTGGAATATTCCACAAGAGTGAATGTGTTCAGGTAACAGGGTTGAGCAAATGTTGTGGAACACTAAAATGTATATTTCTGTATGTACATAACTTACAATGGTTGGCTCATTGTAAAGGATGTTTCTAGCATGAGATGTTAAAGGGATTCACACAGTAATCCAAAATTAATAGTATTAGTGCTTTATAAATAAAATGTATTATTATTATTATTATTAGTTTGAAGTATTTTATTTATTGTATTTATTTATTTCAATATAAAGTGTAGTTATTGTGGGCAATAAAAAAAAGTTTCTGCAAATGTTAATGCACAGTTGCCTTTGATGAAAGTTATATTTGAGGAACTTAATAAAATATAGTAATTACGGCATGTGCAAAAAAGTGTTCGGCAGCATTTGTCAGTACACTACTGTTCATTTGTATCACATGTACAGTAATGGTTACAGTAACATACTGCTATTACTGTACTTATAGTATTTTAAAAGGGGAGGCTTAAAGTTTATGCAATGTTGCTGAATATCCTGACACATCGGTGCTTTGGACTCTGGCCCAGATATCTTAGTGGCAGAATGACTCCTAAGCAATCACTGTATATCCTGATTTCCTTTATTTTTGTCTCTGTGTACTTGGTCTTCCCCTGTAAATCACATACTCATTTATGCTTTTCTGTTCTTTTGTCTCTCAAACACGGTTGCAAAGCAGTTCCTGTTTAGTGGCATGTGAATAGGCTTATCACGCTGAGCTTATCAGCCAATGACGCGCTGAGAATTTTCTTTTTTTTTTTTTATCAGTTTTGATGCACTGCAAAAAGGGATTTTGTTCGAATACTGCCATTTCCCAACCACCATGGAATTTCAAATAGTCTGAAAGCAGAGAAAAAAAAGAACATAATTAAATCTTTATTTCATTTTCTAATTAATGATAGTGACTTTGGAGGGGGTATTCAGGATGGTAAAACAGTATGCTGTGTTCCTTAGGCATTGTGGTGTACTGCAGCTTTGTAATCGCTGCCATTAAAATCATAATTAGGGTGTTAATTACGTTATTTTATGAGTAGAATTACCATAACAAATGTGTTCCTCTCCAATAATGACGCCATGATTGACTTTTTCAATTTAACAAAATGCCCTGAATTGAAGAGAGTACTACATAACTTTGGGAAATATATTCGGTTTGCATGGCTTCACTCATTTTAGATGTTAAACTGGCTTTGGTCTTGAAATATATATATATATATATATATATATATATATATATATATATATATATATATATATATATATATAAGCCCAAAGCTGGACACTAGTATGAAACTTTGTACATAGCAATGCAAGATTACCAGGGAATACCAAAGTATTAGAAATTTAGTAACAGAGCATCATGAGATAGAGCAAAGCAGCACCATGGGTAATTGTGAGAACAAATCTTGGTTCCAGGAATCAGAAGAGTTTGCTTTCAGAGATTGCAATTTAATTGCTATTGTTAGGTCCAGATCTGTGCATATAATTGTACGTATGTGATATTGCCCCCATGTCTTGAACAAAATTATATTTTTCCCATTTTCTATTACTATAACTAGTATTTCTATTACTTCTTCCTCTAATACCAATCTAGGTGAAATTCCTCATCATCCTGCAATATCAGTGTTAATATCTCACTGTTAATGGGCTTGATCTTTCCAATATGGTGACGAAGGCTCTCCTCATCCATCTGTCAATTCACTTTCTGCTGAGTGCCATTGCTAAATTGCCGTTTGGAAGACAAGAAGAGACTTGCGAGAGAACACAAAAGGATCGCAGAGCTGACCAGAGCGCAGGTGGAATTGAATTGGAAATCTTCCACAGGGTCTGTTAGCATAACAAAAGGGGCCACGCAGCTTTAGACAAAAGCGGAGAGGTTTTAATGTAGAAAATCAATCTTTCCAAGGAAAGAAGTTATTGTTCAAGCAGCTGTACAGGTGTTCCTCGCCGGCTCCTTAATCAAAAGTGTCAAAACTAAGTTTTCTTTTCCCCACAAAGTTTTATTTTCCCAGCGCAGAAAATACCTGTGTGTAAAGACAGAAAAATGAGAATATTTCTATATGTAACACCTTCTTTATCTTGCATGGATAGCTAGCAAACAAGCTACTCAATTATAAGCATTGTGTATGTGCAAACTATACACCTTTCACAGAATAGTCTTACAATAAATAACCATTTTCTTATCAGAAAACATCTTTGTCCTTCAGAAGAACATGTCAGCAGAGTAGAGGTACAGTTAATCCAATTATGAGCATTTATGAATCAATAGGCACTGAGTTTTTATGAGGTGTAACAATAGCAGTAGGAAACCTCAGGGCTAGGCTACGCAAGCGTGTGCACAAAGCCTCCGAAGCTCAGCGCTGAACTACAGTTCCCACTCGATGCACCCAATTATACGAAGCGGAGGATCATCTCTATTTGCCACTTCGCTCTATCCATACATTCAGCATGATGGGTGGCCTTGAGAGCACTAGAATAATAATAGGTAATGTTTGCTAGTAGCCTGCGCTAGCTCCGTCCTTGGAAATTCAAGTTCTTTCCTTACAGGTTTAAACTTTGTGTAAAATGTGGCCAACATCAAGGCCACCACAAGGCCACATGCTAGCGTTTTCTGGTAAATGAAAGAAGGGGGCTCCAAAACAATCACACAAAGTTGAAATTCCATTGAGAGACCTGTACTTAAAGGTGTTTGTCTCGATAAGGTTAAGTCTACATTTATCGGCCGACAACCAGCAACATATTACCATAATAATGATTTAAGCACTCGCTAATCCTCTCTGGTTAATGAACGTCTTCATTTTCCCAAGCCAGACAGAGAAGCCACGGTGAGCAAGTGTGTGTGTCAATCCACCCTGTCTGGCAAGTCGTCCCGGTGGGACCGTGTTGTGTGTGTGTGATACCCAGAGTGTGATGGGTAATTTTCCAAATACGCCCGTATCGTTCGCTCCCATTCATTCTCCAGCATTCAATTGCTCACCCCTCACTATTGTCCCCATCAGCCACACACAGATATAATTTCCCTCTGTTTCTGGGCATTAACCTGCACACAAAGCTCTAACTATTACTGACTGATAGCACACGTAATGCTAGGAGGACAATAAATAGAGAGTCATTGACACTGGAAACTCCTCAGGCTATGAAACATCGCAGTGCTAAATGCTAGCATACACAAGAGTTAGCATGTCGACTCGGCCAACACAAGGCTATCCCCCTGCTGCTTTTGACCACCCAGTTGGCTGTATAGGAAGAAGCTCTGACCCGTCATTCCTCAGGGCCGTGACCTCTGAGGAGTCCATATGCAAACCGGTTGATTAAAAATCAGGGAGACACTGAG